GGAGGTGGGAGCCGAGGCGAGGGCTGGGTGCAGGTGGAGAGGACGAGCCGGCCGCGGTCCCGCTTCCGAGGTCCCGCGGGCTGCTGGCCGGCCCCTCAGCCCTGCCTGGACGGGGACGAGCGCAGACGCTCGCTGTGGTTTCGGCCTGGTTGGCAGCCCGGAGCCCACCCTGAGCCGCCTCCTCCGCCAGGACCCCGCTGCCTCCTGAGCGCCCCCCGTGCTAACTGCCACTGACCGTCTTGCACGGGGCGTTCCCAAATGGCCAGAAGCCCGGGAGGACATCTGTGCCCTGGAAGGGCAGTGTCGGCAGCACCAAAGTGTCCGCCAGGGCCACGTTAAAGATGTAAATGTTGGTGGCTGTCTCCATCTTGGTGTGTCTGCAGAGAGGACGGGGAGGAAGATGCTTCATTTGGCCGCCCTGGCAGACCTGGCAGCGAAGGGCAAGGGGCCCTTCCTCTTGGCCATCACAGGGGGCACCGTAAACCTTCCCTTGATGCTAAATGTTTGTGTTAACAGCAATTTGCTTGTCATTAAAACTGATCTAAGCCCGGACATTGGGCCCTCTGCCTGTGCCCAAGCACTGCGACCGAGCTGGCCCTGGATGCCCCTGCGTAGCCCCTCTCTCTGCCAGGGTTGTCTGCCCGACAGTCAGCCTGGGTAGCACCGGGCGCACGCAGGAGCCAGGAGGGTGTCAGAATCTCAGGGCTGCCACAGGAAGCAGCTCTGTGCATCTGTCATCAAACGCCCCTGGATCCGCCCAAGGAACGAGAAAGGAGCTGGAGTGGGGGACGCGGGGGTGAAGAGGACCCATAGCCCACTGTGCGGGAGCACCCACCCGCTGGATCCGCACTGGCTACAGGGGGGGCGAGTGTAGTGCTTGATTGTCTGGGGAGAGACTTTGTGCTGAAGCAAAGAAGACAGGCCCCCAGCACGTCATGTCCCCTTCCCAAAGTGGGACAGTCTGCCAAGCACGGAGCCTGGTGGAGAGCACAGAACAGGTTGGAGGACGAATCAACTTACACGCCACGTGCTAATCCCAGAGAATTTACCCCAATGGCCCCCCAAAGAGTCAGAAACACCTGTTGCAAGCAGAGCGCCCTGACCAGTGTGCAGGGGGTTATTCTGACCCTCCGTCATGGCCCCTGGAGACAGTTCAGGGCTGGTTACGTGCAGGGGAAATCACACTGTCCACATGCATAGATACATGGAGACACATGTTACACCAGCACAAATGCACATGTCTTTCAGCCTTGGCACAAAAATGCCGCAGCCATAGTGGCTCTGGTCCTCAGAGCCTCCCGCTGCTGGCAGCACGGACAGAGCCCCGTCCTCCCCAAGAACGACCCCACAAGGCCGGGGTCCCCAAAGCAGGAGAGGCCAGTCCAGAGTCAGCACCCCCTCCTCTTTCCAGGTGCCTCAGCTCACCTGGCCAGGTCTGCAGCTCAGCTAGCAGGCAGAGGCAGCTCTACCACTGCAGATGTTTCAGCAGCTTGTCTGCAGGGAGAACGCCTGCCAAGTCACCGAGCTGCAGCCTCCATCTGCAAACTGGGAGGGACTTCTCTGGGTGGTCACAGCGGGCAGGGTCCCCACGGCTCAGATGGTCCTTGCAGCCTCCCTCAAGCAGGTCTGCCAGCCCCAGCTCTCCTTCCAACTCTGCATACGAAGACGCCTCTGACTGGGAAGCTCAGACTTCCCCCACAGATAACCGGAGGCTTGTAAATGAAGGAGGGCGTCAGTCACTGGGGGTGCAGGGCAGAACCTGTCCCCACTGGCATCCTTCCAAGGCCACCAGGACCCAAGCAGGACACAGGGTCCTGACAGCTGCACAGCCGCCGACCTCTGATGGAGTCTGAAAGGAGGGCTGTGAGGGACAGCCCGAGGGGGGCCCAGGCAACCCAGACAGAGCACCACAGAGCCCTCCCCACCCCACAGCTGAGACCAGGCACGTGGGGCTGCCTCACAAATGACAGGGTGGCCTGCGGCAGTCCCTCCTGACCACCTCGCAAACCTGAACGGCCATGTCTGCGGCGCAACAGTTCACGCGTCCTGGAGGGAACAGGCTTGCTGAGAAGCCTCCTAAAGGAGCTCCACTCTCAGGGCGAGTCCCACTGCCCAGGGATGCCCACTGGACTCTCCAGGCAGCGCCAGGCCCGTTCAGCTGCCCAGAGGAGACACTGCAAGGGTCCGTGCAGACAGCACACAGCACGAGGGGCACGTGGGACCGTACAGCCGCTGTCACGCTTCCGGCTGTGTGCCTACCCGGAGCGGGATGCAGCAGGGGAGAGGCCAGAACAGTCCGTGAAGCTTGGCAGTGCCGGCGTGGCTCTGGCCGGGCATGCTCACCAGTGAGTCCTTGCACCCCCTCCCCGCCCTCCACTAGGAGGGCAGCTTTAGTATGACCAGGGCCTCGAGGGCAGCCCTAATGCTCTGACCCGTCCCATGATGTCACCAGACCCTCCAAGGCCACAGGGTGGCCCGTGGAGGCTGGTGATGCACAGCTGCCAGTCAGCCTAGAGAGCGGTGACCTGGGTGAGCTCCGTGTTGGGTGTGGATGGGCTCTGCGGGCTGACAGGCACCATGGGCAGGTCCACGCCTAGTCATGCCGGCCGTGGCACCATCTCAGAGGTCTTGCGAGCACGAGCCACATCCTTGGCGATGCTGCGCACGCGGTCTGACACCTGCACCTCCCGGCGCAGGGTGGGCGCGCAGCAGAACTTGCGGAAGCAGGCCTTGAAGTTCTCGTCCAGGAAGGCGTAGAGGATGGGGTTGAGGCAGCTGTTGACATAGCCGAGGGCCGTGCAGAAACGTAGGATGGCCACCACGGTCTCACTGCCTGGCTGCACGCCCAGCCCTTGGACCAGCACAAAGACCTGGACGGGCGTCCAGCAGCCCACGAACACAGCCACCACCACCAGCACCAGCCGCGTGATGCGCCGCAGGTTCCGGTCCTTCTCGCGGGAGCCTGAGAGCAGGCGGACGCCTCGCAGCCGCCGGATCATCAGGCTGTAGCAGACGGAGATGATGAGCACAGGCATGAGGAAGGAGAGGAGGAAGATGCAGATGGCAAACACGGGGCCCCAGTAGTCCTGCGGGCTGGGGATCTCCACCAGACACTCAGTCTCTGCAGGGGAAGAAACAGGGTCAGGGCAGGTGGGCAGCGAGAGAGCCACGCAGAGCCAGGGGAGCGTGGCACTGGGGAGGAGGGTCCCCTGCACTGACCTTCATCCTCAACCTGTGCCGAGCCCATGATGGCAACGGGAACGCCGACAACAGAGGCCAGGGCCCAGATGGCCACGTTGACAGCCTGGGCCTTGCTGGATGTCCGGACGTCAAGGGCACGGATGGGGTGGCAGATGGCCACGTAGCGGTCCACGCTCATGGCAGTCAGCGTGAAGGTGCTGGTGAACATGTTGTAATAGTCAATGGCGATGACCGTCTTGCACAGGGCGTTCCCAAATGGCCAGAAGCCCAGGAGGACATCTGTGCCCTGGAAGGGCAGCGTCAACAGCACCAAAGTGTCCGCCAGGGCCAAGTTAAAGATGTAAATGTTGGTGGCTGTCTTCATCTTGGTGTGTCTGCAGAGAGGACAGGGAGGAAGACGCTTCATTTGGCCGCCCTGGCGGACCTGGCAGCGAAGGGCAAGGGGCCCTTCCTCTTGGCCATCACAGGGGGCACATACTCTGCCCCCCCCGCTAAAATGTAGGTTCATGGGCCCAGCCCAATGCCATGGAGCCTGAAGGCAAGTATTTTAACAAATTCTTCAAGTACTTACACACAAAAAATGGTTCGCAAGACCTGTCTGCCTTGGAAAAGGTGGGTGGGGGGTGGGGGGAGCAGAGTGTCTGCCTGACCCTGCATGAGAGCAGAGACAGGGCTCATAAGACAAAGAACCTGTCCTCCTCCCTTTCAAGTCTCCCCCAAGACCTTTCTTGGACCAAAATGTTGGCCCTTCCACCAACAGAGGTTTCCAGGGGCTCCAGAATCTGGAAGAGCACACCAAACCAGGCCTCACTGTTGCCTAGCAACCGAAACAGGAAATGGTGACAGGGATGGGACAGATGCTAATGGGGTCTGATTGTATGCAAGAACCTGGCATGGGTCTGGAGAAATTGTGGGTGCTTAATAACTATCTGCTAAATGAATTAATAGTTGTTATAATGGTGATGGTGGTAGTGTTGGTGATGGTGGTAATTATGGTGGTGGCGGTGGTGGCAGCGATGGTGCTGGTGATGGTGGTGGTGGTGCTGGTGGTGGTGATGGTGCTGTTGATGGTGATGGTGGTGGTGGTGATGGTGATGGTGGTGGTGGTGGTGGTGGTAGTGATGGTGATGGTGGTGGTGGTGATGATGGTGATGGTGCTGTTGGTGGTGGTGATGGTGGTGTTGGTGATGGTGGTGGTGGTGGTGGTGATGGTGATGGTGATGGTGCTGTTGATGGTGATGATGGTGGTGGTGGTGGTGGTGATGGTGATGGTGGGTGGTGGCGGTGGTGGCAGCGATGGTGCTGGTGATGGTGGTGGTGGTGCTGGTGGTGGTGATGGTGCTGTTGATGGTGATGATGGTGGTGGTGGTGATGGTGCTGTTGATGGTGATGGTGGTGGTGATGGTGGTGATGGTGGTGGTGGTGATGATGGTGATGATGCTGGTGATGGTGATGGTGGTGGTGGTGATGATGGTGATGGTGCTGTTGGTGGTGGTGATGGTGGTGTTGGTGATGGTGGTGCTGGTGCTGGTGGTGGTGCTGGTGCTGTTGATGGTGATGGTGGTGGTGGTGGTGGTGATGGTGGTGTTGGTGGTGGTGGTGGTGGTGATGGTGATGGTGCTGTTGATGGTGATGATGGTGGTGGTGGTGACGGTGGCAACACCAGAGACAACAATGTTCCATGTCAGTTAAGCTGCCATGAAGGAATCTGGGGTTCCTTTCTGCCTCTTAGAGAGAGATTAAGAATAAGCTCAAAGAGGCCTTAATCATGACCAAATAACAAGGACAGTGATGATGGCGATGCCTGTGCCAAGTTCTCCACTTGGATTTTAACTCATTTAAGATTCAGAAGCGCTATTTTGATGCCCAGTCTGCACAGGAGGACATTCAGGCTCAGAGGATCTACGTGGTCTCAAGGCCACAGAGCTGGTAAAAGAAAAGTGGGTCAAGAGAACTAGAAGAGCCACAGACACAGGAGGAGAGATTTGCCACAGGCCCGCCTGACAGAGGACTGCTGTCCAGATGCACGAAGAACTCCTGATACTCAACAATAGGAACACAGACAGCCTGCTTAAAAATGGGCCAAAGACCTTAACAGACCCTCAGCAAAGAAGATACACAGACAGCAAAGAAGCACATGAAACGATGCTCCACCTATGTCATCAGAGAAATGCAAATTAAAACAACAATGAGGACTTCCCTGGTGCCGCAGTGGATAAGAATCCGCCTGTCAATGCAGGGGACAGAGGTTCGAGCCCTGGTCCGGGAAGATGCCACATGCCGCAGAGCAGCTAAGCCCGTGTGCCACAACTGCTGAGCCTGCGCCCTAGAGCCCGTGCTCTGCAACAGGAGAAGCCACCGCAATTAGAAGCCCGTGCACCGCAACGAAGAGTAGCCCCCGCTCGCCGCAACCAGAGAAAGCCCACGCAGAGCAACAAAGACCCAACACAGCCAAAAATAAAAAAAAAATTTTAATAAAATAAAACAACATTGAGATACCACCACATACCTACTAGAATGACCAACATTTGGAACCCTGACACCACTAAATGCTGGTGAGGACGTCAAAAGGTACAGCCATTTGAAAGACAGTTTGGCAGTTTCTTACAAAACAGACTCTTACCATAAGATCCAGCAATCACCCACCCTTTGATATTTACCCAAAGGAGTTGAAAATATATCCACATAAAAACCTGCACACGGATGTTTATAGCAGCTTTATTCATAGTTGCTGAAACTTGGAAGCAACCAAGATGTCCTCCAGTAGGTGGATGAATAAATAAACTGTGGCTCACCCAGAAAATGGAATATTATTCAGCAGTTAAAAGGAATGGGCTATCAAGCCATGAAAAGACATGGAGGACCCTTACATGCATATAGCTAAGGGAAAGTAGCCAATCTGAAAAGGCTACAGACCGTATGATTCCACATTCTCGAAAAGCAAAACTAGGAACACAGTAAAAAGAGCAGTGTTTGCCAGGGGTTGGGAGGTGGGAAAGGATGAAAAGGCAGAGCACGGAGGATTTTTAGGGCAGGGAAACTATTCAGTGTGATACTGTAATGGTGGATACATGCCATTATATATTTGTCCAAACCCATAGAAAGTACAACACCAAGAGGGAACCCTAAGGTAAACTATGGATTTGAGGTGATTATGATGTATCAATGTAGGTTCATCAGTTGTGAAAATGTACTATTCTGGTGGGGATGTTGATAATGGGGGAGATTATGCCTGGGGAGGGGAGGGCAGGGCAGGGACTATATGAGAAACCGCTGTACCTTCTCCTCAATTTTGCTGTGAACCTAAAACTACTTTAAAAACGTTGCCTGTAAAAAAAGAGCAGGGACTGGAACTAGGTGTTCCACTGAGGCAGTCCACCCCGGTGCCGCGGCTCAGAACACATCGTTCTGCCTCTGAGCCCGGCGTGCTCACAGCAGTTCCCGGGCATCACTCTCCGTGGGGACTGCTCGTGGGCAAGACGACCTCCCCTCTCTGCTCTAATCAAGATGTGCCTCTGAGGGTTTTGATGCCCCCACGCAGAGGAGAGAGCCCACAAGAAACACAACCAGAAGGAGGAACAATCCCACCCCCACCCACATTTCTCACCCATAGCACACCCTCCAGCCACGAAGGGGCACGTGAGTCTAATACCCCGGGGTCAGCACTGGGGGAAGGGCAGCTGCTCCTCGCAGCCCCTTGTCTGAGCACACACATGACACACACCAGCACGTACAAATGTACAAGGGCATGCTTACACACATGCACACACACGGACACAGCCACAAGGGCGTGTGCACATGCACACATGCGTGTGCACACGTGCGTGTACCCACATGAGCACGTGTGTGTTCACACTCGCACATTCGTGCCCACTCACATACATGTACAAACATGTACATGCTCGCATGTATTGTGTCCACGCACACATATGTATGTACAAGGTGCAGTATACACACGTATATGCACACACCCAGACGTGCACACACTCACATACGTGTGCGCATTCACAGTGGTGCACAATCACGTGTGTACACACATTTGCATGCTCACGTGCGTGCGTACACATACATGTGTACACGTGTGTACACACATGCACACGTGCATGTGTCCCCGCGCCGACCCGATGCCATCTCCACACGCTGTTCCCACCCTGTCCCCACATTCCCCCCACGCTCTTC